AAAAAAAAAACGAAAATAGTAAAACTCTCTCAAACACAAATCATACGCACGCACGTCCACACGTACCTGAGGGAGCCTGACAGCAGAGAGGACACGAAGAGGCCTGGTATGCCGGGGAGGTCGGCCATCACCTCCATCACGAAATGGGGAAGGAGCTGAAAGTAAAATAACACCAACCACGTGAGATATTTACTTTCTGTAACATTGTCGTTTCTTTACACAGACATATCACATTAGAGGTGGTAGATGCACAGTCACAATCAAGAGCGTTTTATTTATTTACTTTTATCTCCGTTTTTTTTAAATGGGACACAAATTCGTTGTAAAATGATTCTACTTGTGAACATGTTATACGTTTGACAAAACACATTTTCTGTAAAATTGTGTTTGCTTTTTTCACAAAGAAATCAAACGAGTTATCTTGTCCAATGTCAATTCTGCCTTCTCAGCTGAAGACAAATACGTTTCTTAACGTTTCGTTTCAGGTCAGAATTCTGAAAACTGATTTTATTTCTGTCAAATAGAATAGAATTAAAATGGTGTATGTAAGTCCCAGCAAGGACCCAGTGCATTCGGTCAGGTCCTATATCACAGGCCCCTACTAGCTACATCACATTCAAACGCTTTTACACATGTACTATGTATATCGCGTCCTTTCCCTTGATATTCTCACCTGGTTAGCACTAGTTATGATCTTCTCTTTCACTGGATTGCAGCGCAGTTGCACGTAGTAGGTGTAGACAGTGAAGGAAATCAATAACAGCGGGATGGTTAGAAGCAAGTAGAATGGAGTTTTAGCCAACAAGGCACTGAAGAAATTAAACGAGCAAATACAGTCGTTAAGTCATATATACTGCCATGTGTCGTGGTAATAAGAGTCTGCGCTATGGCTTAAGTTTGATGTTTATTCTTCCATTTACTACTGTTCAACGGTGTGGAACATAGTGCACCTAAGATATTCCAAACATAAAGTAAACAAAGAATTCACTTACATTCTAGCTTGCCGGTCAGATTTGACAGACGATATTCTCTGGACATTGGCCTGAGAGAAACAGTTGTGGATGACGCCCAAGCACGTGCCACCGACAACGATACCCCAGAAAGTATGGCGTGTGGTTGGAGAGGGATCAAAACTGAAAAGAACACACAACATGACCTATAGAGCTGAACACGTACAAGGAAACGGTTAACTCTAAGAACAATTAAATAAAAGTCTAGGTTAAATAGCTTCGGATGCGGCATAAGTAAAACATCTGATATGTGTCAGTGTGGTGGAGGTTTGTGTCGCAAGTCAACTTCCATGTGACAGTTCCATTGTCTAGACTGACCTTCAGGTGCCTCAGTGTACCGACATGATGACCAGCCTAGGTCCTCTTTAGCGTCACAAGTGCTGACATATGAGGGGACTGGTAAGTGGACGGAATACATAGCCTATTGCCAGCCATGAGTTAAAACTTACTCAAAGAAGTTTGCCCTCTGTCCTGCCACGCTGGTTTCCCACATTCTGGTCGGCCCGCCTATCGTCACCCAACCCTACAGGAACACAGGACAGTGAGGTGGTGGAGATTTTACAACTGAGAAGAATTACATCACCAAATTCTCGCCCCACTCTTCCAAAGCCATTGGAGGTAAACACGCTGTCACATCTAGCGTTAGCACGAACGTATGAGAAAACTTGTCCCTACGCAGACAAACGCAAGGGGTTCGTTAGACTTACGTCGTTTGCGTATCAAATACACAGACAAACGTTGGTGTAGGATCGCATTCCCGGAGAAGGATAGAATGTTTTGAGCATGGTTAAAAACAGTTTCATACGCTGCTGATGTATTAATTTTTTTATACGCTCAGCAGGAAACAAGGTGATTTCATAACCTCAGTTCTGCGTATGACCGATGTCATATTTCTCACGGGTACCTCTCTACGTACGCTAGATGCAGCAGAGCCTTAACATGCTGAGTTAATTTGCTTTAAAACAGAAAAGCGTCCAGTGAATAAGTTTAAACACTGATAAATAAAATAGCAATTTTATATAGAAAATGTAATTCCTCGTGAAGGGAAACCGCGTTGAACAAGAGGAGCATTGATGAAACTTACTGTTAAAGACATGGACAAAAGTACTTTAGTTCAAAAAGTGAAGGAAATTTTACTTCGTGTCCAAACCTTTATAAGCACGACCAGGATTCCTGCAATCATGATAAAGAACTGAAGAGCGTCCGTCCACAGCACTGCCTTCATTCCGCCCTGGAAGTAAACCGCCATTTAGAGAAAATGAGTTTCCGCCTATTCATGCTCTTTATGTGCCCTAAAAAGCCTCGTTATAAACGATAAACTAAGGTTAAATAACATCGTCTGTGTTCACTGATTCTGCTACTAAAGACACCTTTAAACACCTGAGTGCATATGAAAGTTTATACGCTTTATTTACTACGATTTAATTTCGACTGACTATTTTCATGGCAAAATATATACATGTACAGTCCGGTATCAGTTTTACCTAACGTCCCGGCGATACATACTATAGAAATGATCCCTAAAAGTATGATATAAATAAAAAGTTTACACGACCATGGTGACTACATGTACCATCAAATAACAGTGCTGATATTTACCAGAGAGGTATATAAAGTAGACACGGCCATGATGACTACGATGCTAGCCCACAACGGGACACCAGTCACTGAAAGAAAAATGTGGCTATTTCAAATTTTTACTCTAGTTTCTACGAAACTGAATAAACATTTATTTGATGTTTTGATTTGACTATGTGGCGCAACGGACAGCTAATTAGAACGAGGTTAAAATGCGGACCTCATAGAAATGTAGGGGAAATAGGGCGGTTTGAGATGAATGTTGCTTTTGAATATTTTATTGTATGGATTTTTAAATTTTTTTGCCTTGTAAACAATCTTACAATCTGTGCAAAAATATGCATGAAAAACATTCATTGTTTGAAATTAACCTTTCCAATGGATAATTAATCATTATCGGAATTCTTAAGTTAAACTGATTTTTCACTTAGGCATGAAAATATTGAAAAAACCTAGCTTAAATACCAAAAATTATAATACACCACCCTTGATTCATGCGAAAGTCTACCATATACATGATTTGAAAACCCTGTTCTCATTAACCAGTCTCTCAGAATACCACAACAGTGTCCCAGTCTGCTCGGAAGAAATTGGTTTTTAAAATGTAATACCAGACACTAAAAAACGTGACGGTAACATTATGACGCTCATATAAAACTAGCCCGCTGATATTGACCAGGGCTCCGTATCTCGAAAGGTTCGCTATGTTGTGCACGTGCGTTAGTGTCTCGATTCCATGGCCCCGTATCTCGAAATAGAATCGGTTATGGAATCGAGACACTAACGCAACATAGCGAACCTTTCGAGATACGGAGCCCTGGTGCCAATCTCTGAGCTTAATGTCCTTACCTGCCTCTATTGCCAATGCAGGGGCATATGTAGCAGTGCCCAGATAGAAGACCTGGAAAAGAGAAGAAATTCCGAGATTTTTATTGGGAGATCTAAGCTGTCCAAAAAGGTGCTCAAATTATTCTCAATCCAACATCGTGCTTCCCCTTGCACTCGGTGAATTTTTTACATTAAAAAGGGTGCAATTATATTGATGAGCATGCATTTCGAGTCTTAGAATGTGACCACTTTGACAGGTGATGTGCCGAAACTAAGCCGCGTCCTTGAAACTCCTACCCCTTCCATCACCGGCCATGATAACGTCTGCACCTACTGTCACCAATATCCTAAGACCTTATGATAACTTCTGCACCTACCGTCACCAGTATCCTAAGACCTTATGATAACTGCTGCACCTACCGGCACCAGTATCCTAAGACCTTATGATAACTTCTGCACCTACCGTCACCAGTATCCTAAGACCTTATGATAACTTCTGCACCTACCGTCACCAGTATCCTAAGACCTTATGATAAC